CCTGTCACTCACACTAAGGCACAGCAGTGCCCACACTACATGTCACTCACATGAGGGCAGAGGGTGTCCATCCTACCTGTCACTCACACGAGGGCACAGCAGTACCCACACTACATGTCACTCCCATGAGGGCAGAGGGTGTCCATCCTACCTGTCACTCACACTAAGGCACAGCAGTGCCCACACTACATGTCACTCACAGGAGGGCACAGGGTGTCCACCCTACTTGTCACTCATACGAGGGCACAGCAGTGCCCACTATACCTGTGACTCACACGAGGGTACGGGGTGCCCAACCTACTTGTCACTCACACGAGGGCACAGGGGTCCTATTCTTCACCCTGTCATGTCCCCACTGCCCAGCCCAGAGTCTCGCAGAGTTGTCCCAGTGATATTTATTGAGTGGCCAAAGGACTGCACGTGAAAATTAGCTTGCACTCTATTTCTCTCTGACTTTATTTCCCAAGTTATTCATTTCTAAGGTTGGTGCCTCCCTTTCTTCCTGAGATTCAGCCTCACAGTTCTCTGCTCACCACTGCCAGGCTGGTGCTGGGCTGGAGCCGGGTGGCGTTGACTGTGTTCCCAGGAACCACCTCTGGGGGTGGCAGGGCCAGGTGGGAAGCCAGCAGTGACTTTGCTTCTTGGTGTGGACATTCCTGTTCCCTTTGGGGACTGCTGCTGCCCGGGGATGGCTCCCTTAGTGGGGGCAAATACTGGTGCTTGCCTGTCTGGTTTAAGAGGAGGGTGGGGGAGCTCCCTGACAACCCACTGAGCTGCCAGTACGGGGATCACTGACAATCGCTGACAGCCGTCCCAGGCTCCTCCCCCATATCCCTTGACTTGAATTTGGGGGTCATCCCAGTGCTTTTCAGCTCTGCAGCTGGGCTTAGCTCCCTCCTTGGTCCTGCATGCATGAAAAATTGATCATGCATGCTTTCCAACATTCAGAGGATACTTTGCAATTCTAGAACACCAATGTACACACTTGTATTTTCTAGCACCTTTATATATTAATTCTTTTAAAGGTGTTTCCATTACAAGATTTAGGATGAACAGAGAGGAGGTTGTCTATGTTTTATTATCTCTGCCAAGCAATCCTACACTATTGTCTCATCTTCTCCTCCGAACTCGGCAAGGCTGGCAGGAGGGAAGGCCAGCAGCAGACGAGGAAAGACCAGGGACATGAAGCCACTCAACTCCAGTGGGACGCACCTGTGCTGGTACGAGAAGCCGGGTCTCCAGACCCCATTTCTCTGTTTCTGTGACCCCATGAGGCCCGAGGAGAGGTCCCTGGAAAAGCACTCTGGTCTCTGTCTCAGATCCCAGAGTGGCCTAGTTGGTGACAGTCCCAGGGCCCATTGGATCTAGCCCTTCTAGTTACAGAAGAGGAGGCTGACAGCCTTGGGGTGGACCCTGTCCCAGGTCACAGAAACTTGATGGCAGAACCAGGACTAAAACCAGGCTCTCCTGACCTACCTAAGCTTTCTCTTATGGTAGTCTGCTCTGCTAAGACCACTCTGCATCCAGCACTTCCACAGGCTCGGAGCAAAGACAGCGTGCTGATCAGGTGCCATTTTGCAAGGTCTGCCTTGAAAGAAAGGCTCTGCCTATTGGCCAATCCCCAGCTCTTCCTTCCTTGCACCTGCAGACCAGGACAAGTGGGGCCCGAAGCCAAGACCACTCCCAGCGGCAACTCGGGACAGCTGCAGGTACACAGGGAGGCCTGGCTGGACACGGTGTCCACAGTCTGTGTGGCTCGTCAGCACGCAGAGAGGGACCAGGTGGACACAGCTGGAGGTTGACAGAGGGGCGTGCAGTAGCAGGGGACCAGAGGCAGACAGGAATGGGAGGGTGGATGAGAGAAGGAAATGAGCTGGGAGAGAGACAAACACAGAGACAGATACAGACTGAGACAGAGAGAGACAGGGAGACAGAGAAGAGGAGACAATCAAAGAGAAAGAGAACAGCAAAAAGTAAAACAGAAACAGAGAAAAAGAGAGAGAAACAGAGACAGAGAGAAAGATACAGACAGGAACAGAGAAGAAAAGAGAGAGAGACAGAAAGAGAAAAATAAATATAAATAAATAAATAAATATAAATATAGAAAGACAGAGAGGGACAGCGAGACAGAGACAGAGATACAGAAAAGGCAGAGAGTGGCAGAGACAGACAGATAGACAGAGACCAAGAGAGAGCAGAGAGGGACAGGTACAAAGAGACAGAGACAACAGAGAGACAGTAGAGAGACAGAGACACAGGAGCGAGAAGTATTGAGTACGTGCAGATGAGACAGAGAGGACAGGTGCCACCTATGGAGGAGGGTCTGGAATGAAGCTCCCCAGAACTGGGAGGGACAGAATGTGGGCCCCGTGGGGCAGACGGCCTGAGCTACAGCAGATTAAACCACAGCCCCGGGAGGCTCTCCACCGCACAGCACCGGCTCTGGCTCACGGGGCTTGTTACCACTGTGCTGGCCACACGAGCACCGCCGAGGACAGGCTGGTGTCTGTCAAGAGGAAGCTGAGGCCCTGTAGTTGAGAGGACATGACCCCGTCGTTGGCCTCATGCTCAGCCCCAAACCTGGCTCTGCCTCTCCAACTGCGTGACTGTGGACGGGTCGCTCGGCCTCTCTGGGACTGAGCTTCTCATCTCCAGTACACAGAATGTACCTAAAGGCCACCACGAGGACAGAGCGCTAGCACGTGCAAACGGCTTAGACGGATGCGTGGCACCGGGAGGTACACCCCAAAAGCTATGTGAGCGAACACACGGTGGCCGTGGAACAAGCAGAGACAGAGGGAAGATCACTTTCCAGGGGCCAGCAGAGGTCATCAAGGGAGAGGGGGCAATGAGCAAGGGTCAGGAGGCCCGAGTTCTAGTCCTGGTCCTGACCA